TGATTGATCTTGTCATCAAAATGTTCATCATTCTCTGACTTCTATCGTCTCTAACCATGGACTCGATAGTCACCATAACCACCCTCAAAGTGAACATGGAAATACTCCTTACACCCTCCCTGAATTCACCTATATACCCCCAATAGGCAGCACTCCCACATATGGATCACGTGGTTTAACCACTCCTCCATCACCATCATCAAGTAATGATCAGGAAATGTTGATCAGTTCAGGTCATCTTAACCATTTAGGCCAATCTCATCAACAAGGACAAGGACACCAACAAGAACCTCAACAAGCCCAAGGCCATGCTCATCCTCATCAACACCCTCAACACCAGCATCATGCCCGTTATAATAATATACGTTATAATGGCAATGAAGGTTACTTTGAATCTTCCAACATTATGGTTAACCGATCAACAGTCAATGGTTTACCCGTAAATGAGCCCAATCAACATGTCTCCCAGCATCACCATCACCCAGTACAACAGACAAACCCTCATCTGCACCAGCAACAACAAGCACAAAATCATAATGTACATCAACATGGGCACCATCAAGTATCTTTAGCCTCACCACTCAACTCACTTGTACCACCTCCAGTCAACTCATCAGTCCTTCAACCTTTAATAACTTCAGGTTCAACAAAAATCGGAACAACCACAAGCGGATCAACCACCACTGGAGCAACACCAGCAACATTGGGGATTGTGGTTAAAAGTCGTCGAGGTCGTCGAAGTTCAGGTCGTAAAAAGGTTACAACACATTATTGTACGTATGTAAATTGCGGTAAAAGCTATTCCAAGTCATCCCACTTGAAGGCTCATCTTCGAACTCACACAGGAGAGAAGCCCTACCATTGTACGTGGAAATCTTGTGGATGGAAATTTGCTCGATCAGATGAATTGACCCGTCATTATCGTAAACACACGGGTGATAAACCATTCAAATGTAGTCTATGTGAAAGAAAATTTTCCCGTTCAGATCATTTATCGCTTCACATGAAGCGACACACAAATCTTTGATCAAACTCTTCCTCTCTCTCTTTACAGATAATAATGATGATACATTTTTTTCAATGAAAATTATCAAATGAAAAGCAATATATTATTACATATTGTATATCATTATTATCACCATTAGATTAATAGATTGAATAGTTATGAGAGAAGCAAACAATTGATTTCACAAAAAAATGAACTTTTCCAGATCAATTATTCTTAGAATACTGTTTATATTATTTCATCTTCCCGTAATATACATTATCTTCTTGTTTCTCATCTTATTTTATTTTTCATTTTCTTCCTTTTCTCTTCCATTCTTTCATCTTCATGCAAAAAACCACTTTTTTAGTCTTCCTCATTGTATTATACCTTTAAACCTTAGTGTAACAAAGTCTATCCAAATCATGTATCAATATCAATTATGACAATAATAATAAGCCACAAAGCGGGCAAGAAATGAAGCAAAAAATATTGAACCCAAATCTCAATCTAAATTTTCAATTAAGTTGTTGATGGATTGAAAGGGGATTCAAGTTGATATGAAAGTGTGCAAATCGACGGAAAGCAAAGGTAAAAAAAACATTGACCTGACATTGGTTATGAGTTGACCTTAAAACTCCTACGTGAAACGTTAAATGAAAATAAACATGTTATCTTGTATAATGATGTTATTTAAACATTTATTAAATGTTGTTATTGACCAGAAAACCTCTATGACTGAGTTGCCAAAAAAACGTTCAAATCTTCAGATGGATCATGATGATGAACTAAAAAATGAAAACTCTGCTTGACTCCAATTTTGTCAGTCTTTTTCTCTTCGTCTCATCTTCTTCCTCATCATCTTCCTGTCTCATCATGTATTTATACGAAGGAAATTAGAAGGAAAAATATTCATTCAAATGAATCTATTGATGTATTAATAATCAATTGTTCATTTTGACTATTTCATGGGACAATATAATATGCATAACAGTTTAATGTTGAATGATGATTGAAACAAAACAAGTTAACTAATCAATATCAAAATGTTAACCTTTGATAGTTGATCTTTTTGCTCTCTCAGCGGGTTGAGAGTAAAAAATGTTGATTTAAAATCATTGACAGAGGCCAATTGTTTGGAAATTTTTTCATCTCTTCTCAATATTATTCACCATTGTAATTGTAATGTAAAGCACATAACTATATTTACTTTCACTGTTGGTGCAACGAAAAAAAGCTAAGATGATCACCATCATCATCATCATTCATTTCAAGGTTAAAACTGATGATGATCATGGAAATGCAAAAAAAAGTTAATGATGAATTGAATCAACAATAACAACGAGTAACAAGTAACAAGGTAAAAAGCTGTTGTTTTACTGAAACAATCATTTGTCTCGATTATCTTTACCCGTCACAATCAGCTAATCACTTTTGGCTTCCCTCAAACCAAATCATTTGACACTCAATTTAGTTAATTTAGTAAAAAAAGGAAGAAGAGGGAAGAACAACGGATTTCAGGATAAATCAAGTTAAAGAGATGAAAGATGATCAAGATGAATGTTTTTACTTGCAAGAAACAATGTAAAATCTCACATGGAGAGAGACCCAGAGATCAAGTTAAAGTATAACCTGGGAAAGCATAGCCAATGCATCAACATTCAATGTACATAAGCCTAAGGGTTTGGATAAGGAAAGAGCATTAAACATGTTAGACTTAAACTATCATTTCCTCTGTTCTTGCTCAGTCATCTTACATGATGATGATGCACATTTACAGACTATCATCTTGTTCTTGATCTTTACCATTAACCGCCTCCATCTTGACTTTCAATCATGCTTTCCTTCATTCACATGGAAATGAGAATCTTGCCCATCTTTATCATTTCTTTATTCAGTTCACCTTTTTTTTCATGTCGCATTGAATGAGTTGTTCAATATGACAGTAATCTTCTCACCTCAAAATCTCAGTTTAAGAGGCGAAGAGTTTAGAAACTTTTTTACTTCTTTCTTCTTCTTCTTTACTCATCTTCATCTATCACATTCTCATCATTTTCATTTTCATCTCAATTTCAGAACCCACTCAACTTTGAAACTCAATTTACCTCAATGATAATGTTTCAAGATTACATGATATTCCAGCAATGAGTCAAGACAATTTTTGTTCTGTTTTTTTCTTCATTTTCTTCTTCTTCTTCTTCTCATCTCTTTACCAAATGAAAATATTGTAAATGGATGAATGATGATTGAATACAAATATTTTTTTCCCATTCATTTAGATTTGCTTTTCATTTCCATCCGATACTAAACGCCTCTTCAAGATTATCATGAAACAAATTTCAACAATCAATTTATTAACATTATCATTATCATTTTAATTTGGACTTTATCAACAATTTTCGTTTCTCTATTGCATTTTAATTCGATTGTTTACTCTTCAGTTTAGTTATTGAGAGCAAAATGTGATTACAATTTTCAATGAAAAGTCAGACAGTTAGTTGACCTGGTTGGTTGAAATTGAACAATCATTACCATTATTATTATCATGCTTATTATTAAATGAATGGCGACCATTTCGGTCCAGTAATCTCATTGAAAGCAAGCAACAATTGAACTGGACTTTGACAATTGTACTTTTCTCCTATTTTTTGCAACTTTTTGTATTGTCTGTTTGTTTGCTGTTAATGATGAACCTTATAAGATTATGAACAAAAATTACCATAAAGATGACCATCAGTCTGAAATGAGTTATTAGAGTTAATCAAGGGAAAGGTCAATGGAAGAAGAAAAAAGAAACAATTAAATGTTTCAATCAAATGTTGAAAGAGTTTTACATTTTGAGGGAAAACAACATTTAAAATTGACTAACTCTATTCACTCATTAGTGATAATCGGTTCATCAAATCATCATTTACTTCATTGGCTTTTCACTTAAAAATTTTATCAAATTTTTCGTCTCAATTTTTTCCACTTTGCAGCTTAAAATTGGCACCAATTTGTGTGAAATTGGTAAAGTTGGACAGTTCAATTGGCCATGTTGACTTGATCAATACTCACATCAACCTTGCTCGTTATCACAATCTTTAAGTTAACGATAAACTGGACTTGATATCAGCTTGCAGTCTTGACGACGGTCGTAAGATTGGCTTCTTTGATCCAATCTCAACGGTTGTTTTCATTTGAACGTTTAACTTGTTAAAATGAATCAACCAAATGAGAGGTTTCTTTACCTGAGCTTGAGCCACTTTACAGACAATTGTTACCTGATATATCTTAATCCTTTTCTCATCATGATAACCTGAGTGGACCATTGATTCAGAATCATCCTATAATGAAGTGCAAAGGCACATAATGACGTTTAACTCAATTATTTTTGACACTTAATTGCAATGTGCTAAACTTGTTGGACAACTTTTGCTCAACATTAAAAGCCATCTTTTAACTTGCATTATTTGAACAAGATTAGAATCAGTTAACAACAAACAAAAGCAAAGGTAAGCTACTCTTTCAACAGTCACAATAAAGAAGGTAAAATAGAGAGAGAAGAGAGAGAAGAAGAGAGAGAAATGTTATAATAATGATGAGAATGAAAAGGACAAAGAAAATTGCAATATTTAAAGAGAGAGAAAAAGCAAATTCTTCCTCATGAATCTTATAGGATTGAACTGAATTTATGTACACTCAATGTGATGTGTTACAAACCGCTAATAATCATCCTTTTTAACCTTAACTTTCGTGAAAAATTGTTCATCATAAATTCATAAGCATATTGATCATGATCATGTAACCATTCATTGACATTTCCAGCTCCACCTTTTTATGCCACCCTCTCCTCATCTTCCTCACTCTTCATGACGGTGGGTCGGTTTACGCATCTTCCTTGTCTCTCTCTCTCTCTCTCTCTCTCTCTCTCTCTCTCTCTCTCTTCATTGATCATCATTATGCACTTTTGTTTCTTACAGGCCAATAAAAGGTTGTACTTGATAGTCACACATCCCACTGATGACAAAAAAAGGAGGCGGAGGAGGAAGATGATCATCAGTTGGACCAAAAGAGTCCAGTCAGGATGAGTCTATCATTTCTTTGTTTTTTCATCGCTATTCATCTGATAAGTTCATTGTTTCTATAGCAAACCAAAAGTCTTTTATTTTCATGAGTAAACTCAACTTTTTGAGTAAACTTTACCAAAACAAGTCAGCGTCATCTAACGGTTAAACATTAATAATCTTGTTGTTGCCTTTGCTTTTGTACATTACTCAAGATTCTTGTTTCTTGAAACTGAAAAGGTTCGGTAAACATGATGAATCTTTATTGTTACAAGTTATTCACTTGAAGATTCAAAGTTGAAAGGTTTACATTTTTGTATGAAACTTAACCTTGAATCTTTAGGTAACTCCAAGAAATGACTTTTTCTGTTCATTTATCAACTGATTGTTCATGTTCAACAATGAAACCTGTTAATCTTTTAATTTTGGGTAAAATATGGTGATTAACCAATGAAATTAATCAAATTTACCAATTAAATGAATTGATAAACATGAGTTGATCAGCAGGTTTTAAATTAGAAACCACTGAATGTAATTAGCTATCGATCATCAGGATTTTGGGTTGAAAAGTAAATGATTATGACTGATAGTGGAAAGGATGAACAAGTGTAAAAAGTGATGAAAAAAATGAAATGAAATGTTTTGAACTCAATTTTTTGATGAAGAAAAATTGTCTCGCTTTTTTCCAACTCAACATTCAATTTTTTAATGGTAGCTTGACATTTCTGGTTTGACAAGGAGTGATAATGATTAGAAATAAATGAACAAGCGAAATAATCGCAAACGAATCAATGTAATAATTTAATTGATGTTAATATCAAGGAAAATACCATAACTCATAAAGAAGAAGAAGAAGGCGTTACGATGGATGATCAAGATGATGATGATGATTAGGTCATAATTTTTAATCATAATGTAACATCCATTAAGTTTCCTTGATCATCATCATCAAAATCATTAGAATTATCATCCTTTTTTTGCTCTGTTGATGGGAGCGTTTACATGAAAGCTGTAATAAGTATTTTGCTTTTGCTCATCTGTTTCGTCTTTTTTTTGTGGCTTGTTTGCCTTGTGATGTGATGCTATTAAGGTAACTACTTACAAGTAGATCAAATAATGGGTCTCCTGTTTATACCTGCAATTGTATTATTGATTAAAAGATGATTACATGTTTGTCAACTCTTCACTCGCCATTTACATTAATAACAATTTGGCAAAAGTTTGTAAAGTCAACCGAGAAGGCAAAACATTTCAATTTTGACATTGAATTATGAGTTGGAAAAAGGTAAGATCAGGAAGAAGAGAACGGGCAAAAAGGTAATCATTCTAATGTACTCTCAGTATTTCAGGATTGAAATGAAATTTAAATTGATTAATATTCAATTGTATGCCTTGATTACTTGATTAATAAATAAATTGCGTTTGTCCAACTGGATAGACTTAACAGCTATTCTGTTAGTGAATCATTGCTCTTTCATTGTTAGTAATTTTTCTTGCTATTGTTTCCTTCAGAATCGTTTCAAGTAAATATTGAAACTCTGTAACATTTCATTTCTTATTGAATTGAGATACAATCAAAATCGGTTGAAGGAAAATTTAAAGACAGCAAATTTCTGTTCGCGTTGTAACAATTTGTGATCTAGTCAGAATACATTGAACTAGAATCTTGTTCGTGTTGCGATCGTGAAATATTTATCATCACATTGAACAGTAATCTTGAGTTTGAATCTGTGACCAGCGATGTACCCAAAGCTTGAAAAGGTAATCCACTAATTAGCTTTCAAGAAAAGGGCAAAATATTCCTTTGGCCTTTTGTATCTGTTGAATAATGCCATATGTAATCACATATACCACAATATTTAAACAATTGCATGATCTTTTTTTGCCATCATTCTCATTCTCATTATATTTTATGATGATGATAGTCAGGATGTTGTTAAGGTAAAGGAAGAAGATAGAGAAAGAAAAAAAAGTTTCCTTTTCTTTTATCATCTTGTTGTTATTTTTCTCGCTCTAAGAGCCATCGATCCGTCTATTGTATTCAGTTTCATTGTACCATAGCCAATTCAATAGATATACATACGAGTCTAGATACATTAGACGTGTACACAAGAGACTGGCTGTCTAAGGATCAAGAGTCAACCTGGATCAGTGAGTGTTACTGCACCAGCCACTTGTTATCCATTGCCTAAGCCTCGAAACAAAACAACTTTAACTTGTACGATTTACTGAATGCAAACAGGAAGACTTCATCAGCTCAACTCTCTTGATGAGCCTCAAAAATAATGATAATACAAAAAAATGTATCTGATAGTTTTTCATTCATCAGCTAATTCATTCAATTTTGTTTCCCTTTCATCATCACAACGTTCCTATTTAGATATATTGTAATGTCTAGATGAAAAAAAAGTCAGGTAATGATGATGGAGTAAGTTACGGAAGTTTATCAAGTGAAAAACAAAATTATCATATTTCACTGGATTTTACCTCCCACCAAGGATCAAATAAAAGTTGATAATAAAAAGGATAAAGTCGCTATGTTTATGCATCAATTGTTTCCTAAATTAACTACAATCAAGAAACCATGAAGGTGATATACCTTTTGACATTGATATTGAACTTTTATCCTTTTTTTAGAAGCCAAAAGATAATGAGCCAAATGAAAGGAAAGAGATGATCATCATTTTCATCTTCATAGTGAACCTTAAAATAAAAACAATCATCAACGGACATTACCTTTCAATTATAAGTGTTGTATAATGAACGCAACTCTATTCATTATTAATTAAATACAATTAACTTACCGGAAACATTTAAATGCTCGGACAGCCTTTTGTCTTTCAACAATAAACCATCTAATTAATAAACATCCTTCATTTATTGTTCACCATTACATTCAATGGACGTTAAGGTTTGACTATTTTTAATGGTTTAAAAAAAAGGTTAAGCAAAGGATTTGGTTAAAAATGGTCAACAATTGGAAACTGAATTTATGTTGCATTTGATTAACACTTTAAGTGCTTATTGAGATTTATTTTTAAATATTAACTAAATTAAACTGATTAACCAATGATTGATGAAGTACCACAGCTGTCAACAGTTAAAAACCTTACGGCGTTCAAACTGTATAACATTGATTCATTGGTTGCTTCAATTAATTTAAACAAAATAATCTCATTTTCTTTTGGTCATCAAATTGAAAGTGAGATGGACAAATTAATGATTAATTAACATGCTAATGATCATTAATTTAAACCTTTTTTTTGTTTTCATTCTTTCTTTGTAAATATACGCTATTTCAGGGTAAACAAGTTGATGGTTAAAGTGTTGAAGCCTTGACAATTTGCCTGTGATACTTAAATCAACAGACAGTTGTTAGCCTTGATTAACAATTGTTAAATGTGTATTATGTGTAAATTGGAAGGTATAAGATGAATTAAATTGTCGTAGGAATGATTGTTGTTTTTTTGAGCAGTGGAAGTAAACTGTCAAGAGGAAAGACTCAGGTGAAAATGATTGACTTGCAATGAAAGTTGTTGGAGAGCAAAAATTGTGAAAAGAAACTGTGAATCAAGCGAATTGGACTGTTTTTGTTGATAAATCATAAAGCAACGGAAAGCAATCAGTTTAACTAATTATGAAGGTAAAAGTGAGCCTTTGATGGCTCGTGGAGAGATTTAGAGGAAGAAGAAAAAAAGGAGAAAAAAAACAGTCAAAGGAATCACAGGTAACATGGTGATGATTCACAATTAATTGAAGAGATGGAGAAGTGAAGGAGGGTTTGATTGTTGTTTATCAAAAGGAACCAAAAATTGTTGATGATGATAATGATAAGGATGAAGAGAGAGTAAGAGAAAGAAGGAAAGACAACAAAAGGTAAATGAATAGGATTACTTAGCTACTAGGTAATAGAAAGTGGAAAGGAAAGGAACAAATAAAGAAAAGAAATGAAAAGACAGAAAGGAGAGAAGGAAAAGAAAGATTTATCATAATATGCTTGGTATATCATGGATAGAAAATTTTTTGCTACTTTTCTGTATTTTATTTATTGGTGATGATGATGCAAGTGATGGTGATGTGAATATACTGAATACCGAGTTGACTGATTCCATGAGACAAATTGTGGCATCGGTTTTTTACCAATAAAGACAGTCAAGTGAATCTGATTCTGGACCGATGAATGATATTGACAAATTTTGGCTTTCCTTTCACTTTTATTTGGTTAACTGGATTGTTTCACTTGTGATTAACAAATTGCATGAGTTGATTGTATCAATATGAGGTAAATTTTGGAATAAAGTACGAAGTCGCTGGATGAATCAATGATTTTAGCAAAACAATTGTAGCTTGTAACAAAAATAACATGCTTTATAAAATTTTGTTTTTTAAGTTTGATTCAATTTAAAAATTGACTTCGCACCATTTCAACTGCTTTATTGACTTGTTTCTGTGTGAATTCTCGTTCCCATTGTGATGAGAAAACTACATTCGCATGTTGAACTCGCTCGTGGCTGGTCATTTGATTAGCTATTCGTTTACGTGCTTCCTCTTCATCCAAGCCATTTCGCTCCTTTAAACGCTTGATTGCTTCTTCTTCAGTAACGATTGATACCCATATTTGATGAAATTGATCTTGCCAGCCTGCTTCCAACATTAAAGCAGCTTCAACGACCACAATATCGTGTTCATCAGAAATTTCACCAATTCTTTGTTCAATTAGCTCCTTGGTTGCTGGCCAAACTATAGAGTTTAATTGAGCCAATTTATCTGCATTAGAGAAGACAATTGTACCCAGCTTTTGTCGATTAATTGATTTATCAGGATTAACAATATCTGAACCAAAAGCTTCAACTATCTTGGAGTAAGCGATAGCGTTGGGGTTGGCATAAGTCGAATGGGCTATTACATCGGCATTCAGAGTTACGATATCGAGATCTGAAAGATGTTGACAGATTGTGGATTTGCCTGAACAAACTCCTCCAACCAGACCAATACGATATGGTCGTCGAGGTAAATGATCTCGCGGAACTGGTTTCCTGAGCAAAGTTCCAAGTTTTCTTATTCGTAGACTTGATGAGCTTATTTTGTCTTCTTCATGGGCACTTTCATGTGCTTCATCTTTGACCAAACCAATGCTCACAATTTCAAGCCTTTTCATTCCTTTTTCTTCTCGAATTGTATTGATCTTTTCGCCTCCCTTTAATGTTTCCTCGCTGACCACAATGCAACTCAATTCTGGATCGACAATTGCTGGTCCAAAAGGATCTGTGATTCCGACAATTTTATATTCAATCGAATCACAGACATCGGTTAAAAATTGACGAACATCATCAATCCGTTCCTCTAATGGTTTGATTAATTCCCACAGAACCTTTTTTTTAATCATATTAACATCAGTAACTCCAATAGTCATTGATTTATTGGTACGTATCAGGGATTCACTAAGTAATACTTTATGGCCATTGTGAAGGTTATCAAATGTTCCACCAAGACAAACATGATCATGCTTGACAATGTGCGTTGAAGATACTGGTGCTGAATCCGTAGCCTCATCTGGACTATTGATTATCTTTATTTCTTTGAATTGGCCAAGATCAACTTTACTTCCCACTAGACTAGGGAAATTTCTGGTTGTGAGAGGAAAACAAACAAAAAAACAATTTTAAAAAATGCTCTTGGTTAAAGTTAGCAAAATTTTTCATTAAACTCAAAGCAATTTACAGCTAGTGCACTCGTTCACTTATCACAATAAGCTTTGAGCTTTATCAAGTGCATTGAAGGCAAATTGAAGGCACTACTTACTTTGTATTAATGTGATCCAAAGGATGGTTACAAAGGAGAATTTGAGGTTGATAGCGAAAACTAGATAATTGTGGCTTGATTATAACTCGGACATCTAAATGAGGGACTCTTGAGCTAGCTGCTCGATAAATACTAGGTACGTAATAATGATTATCATCTGATTGTTTGTTGGAACCAATTTCTTCGCTTGGATTTCGTTCAACTTTGATGTAAAGAACTTGACTTACCAATGACTTTGCCTCATTGAGAAAGTGTCCAATTTTAGTTGGAATCTTATTTAATGGAGAATGAATCAACAGTAACCCACAATTAAACATATCACTAATTTGTTGAAAAAAATAGAAAATAAAATTGAAACAAACAAAACAAAAGAGGAAAACAAATATGAAAATTACATTGATTTGAAGAGTTTATATATCAGCTGTTGCTATCTAAAGACTATCATTTGTGGTAAACAAATGTATTGAGACCTGAAAATATTTAGTCTACTTCCTCAAATAAATATCAAATTGAACACATCAATTGCAAACGAGTTTTGGATGTGACGACCTAAATTCACATTTGAATATTTTAGTAATTTCAACTTTTTTGTCAAACAAAACTCTTAGCCGGATTCGTTCACCTCGAACTGTAACTTACATTGGATCCGCAACATATTTTAATGATTCAAAACATGATTCGAAATGATTTAAACAATGAATTGTTTGCAAAAGCATAATAAGATTGAAAAAATATATAATTGAATGATAAAGTTTACAAGAAAAACTGATGGCTAATAAACAAAAATGATGATTTTGTGACTGGAAGTTAAGTAAGATAACTTAGCACTGCCCAACATTGTGGCAGGACTGATACATATAATTTTGACAAATAAACCATTGAAATGAAAAAGTCGCTGATTTTTAGATTTACATATTTTTTAGCATCAACAACTAAGATTCAGGCTCATCAATATCTGACCATCTTAAAGTCTCTGAGACATCTGACAACGAGTCAACATCGTCATTACAGTCATCTTCTGCTGCAATTTCTTCGTCTTTCTCTCCATCTGATCCGGCTTCATCATTGTTTTCTTTTGAGTCATCTTTTGATCCAGGCATTGATCCTAATGGGTCTAAATCCAAATCTCCTTCCATCTGATCGAGTTCATCATAGTCAGCAGCTTCTGCTTCATCATCCATCTGACTTGAGGGCCTAGACATTGATGCATTAAGTTCACCTCGACCCAATGATTTGTAAAACACAAGAAAAGATCGAATAAATTTTTCAATCTTTTTGCGACGGCTTGCTCGCATATCCTCGACACGAGCTTTCATTCTTGTAATAATTTTCATCATAACTGGACGGAGTTCACCAAAAACATTATCATCGATATCATCCAATGATAAACGTAAGGCAGCTTTGAGAAGATATTCAACTAAAAAGTCTTCATAAAATTTATATATTTGATCTTCACTCGTGACAATGGAAAACATTTTATAAAGCAAGTTACTTAGAAGATTTTTATGTTGATTAGGTTTAACCAAATTCAACATGAAACTCGTAACATTTTTCAAGTCAATTTGACGATATTGAGTGCTATCATCGAGATTCGGTAAGAAATGGAACAGTCGGAGCTCTTCTGGTTCTTTATGAATAGCATTTTTAGCTTCGTAAAGTATTTCCAATGTATCAATGAAGCAGTCAACTAGACAAGTTTGCCCAGTAACAATAATATGATCATCTTCTCGAACATATTTACTCTCAGAGCCAACGTAAATTGGAATAAAAACACCGAGAAACTGCAAAATGTTGGGTTTTGTTTCAGGAAGATACCAAGTTATAATGAATCGAGAGAGTAGTGATGGCGAATAGATAACTCCAAGAATCATCAGTTTAGCAAAACCTTCAATTGCTGACTCTTCAATCCGATCAATTCCACAGTTGAAAAGTCTTTCGGTGAAAATTTCAACAAGGGAATTTATTATATCTTGTTCAGAGTTTTTGTTTAAAGTTTCAAAGGGACGAACACGTTTCTGACTGTTGATAGTCATATCAGCTTCTGATTCTAATTCCTCAGCATCTTCGTCATTATCTTCCATCATTGATTGTTGCAAATCAGCTTGAGTTTCTGCTTCACCAATACTTTCCAGATCAGCACCCGCTCCTTCAATATTAAGATTTGCAATGTCATCTTCGATTAGTCTTGCTGAGGACCTTCGCACATTTGGTGATGTTTCTGGCTTTTTAATTAAAGGTTCTATTCCATGTTTGCAAAGACAATCCAAAAAGCTTTGTAAGGCAATGATTCGAATAGTTTCAGAATCAATGCTGAGAATCTGCATTAAAAGATTACAGTGTTGCTTAAATAATGAATCACTGAGAATGCATGAAAGTCCTAAAGCTTTGACAGCAAGAGCACGAATTCGTTCTTCTTTTTCAATAACACCGGGTATTACAATTGAGTCAATATGATGGAAAATAAGAGTGTGAGCTGAGTCAAATTTGCCATGTTCAAGGGCTCCAACAAAAATTTGTAAACATTTGAGTAGAGTTTCAGGGTGATCATTCAAATTGAAAGGTTGTGACAGGGGAACTTGACTTGGAGGGATCTGTTGTGACATGGGACTTATTCGATGAGCACGCCTAGCTTGTAACCTCTCACGTTCTGATTGTAATTCAATCAATTTCATCTTGATCTTTTGAGTTTCCACATGATCTTTCTCCACTTCTGTCTCTGCTTTCTCTATTTTATCTCTAATCTCTTCTATTTCCATGGTCAATCGTGCATAATCAACATCATAATTGCTTTCGGTATCATTACTTGGCTCAGGAGTTTTCGATTTGGGTATAGCATCCTCGACACTGACTTCTGCGGCTAAATTGTAAACTTTACTAGTACATTCAGCAGTAAACTCGAGCAGGTGGGTTGAATCTTTGAAAATTCGCCTTGCGATAAACTTCATGATTGGTGAAATGCTATCTTCGAATACAATATGAAGATTAGGTGAAAAGATAATGGTGTGAATCATTTCTAATAGATAGTTTTGCTGAGCTTCATCGCAAACGTCGAACAAAAGAAGAATGGAAACCAATTGTTTGTACACGAACTCTTTACCATCGATTTCTTCAGAAGATGTAGATTCAGGTAAAGAATCGACAGTTTCAACGAATCTAGAATGAAGAGATGAAAAAATGGGATAAGTTGATAAATTGGTAACTTACGATTAGAGTTGATTTAAAGCAACTTACTTTCTTAAATATTGACACATATGAGGTAATTCAGGTAACAAGTAATCAGCAATTTGAGAGTCATCTTTAAGTTGATTCGAGCTTTCTCCCATTGCTTGGTTTGCCCATTCTTCGGCTAAAGTCTCGGCTTCCGTAAACTTCTCATTGTTAGGTAATGATGTATTTGCCGCTGGGTTGCCTGATGTCGTAACAAATCTTTTATCCGCCAATTTGATAAATTTATCTTCATTAGATTTAATAAAGGTATTTAGGCATTGCCAGATCAAGACCTTTTCTGGAGTCAAATGTTCTTCTATCAACAATTTGTCATGATCAAGATAGGATTGTCGAAAATGATGAACCAGAGAGTGAAATTTCGTTCCAAATTGATCACAAGCTGTTTCCATCAACTGATTTGCATATATGTAGAGGATTTTCTTTGAAATTTTCAAATCTGCTAGCACATCGATTTCAACCAAAAGTCGAATAACATCATCGTCACAATGCTTGAGCCATGCTGCAAGCAGCCTTTCTTCAACAGTTTTTCGCACATTAGGATGTCTATCGTTGAGTCCTTCCTTGAGTACTAAATTTCTCTGTGCAACTGAAAGCATCTTCAAAGGTACATGTTCAGCAAGTTTAATGTATGCTTGCTTTCTAATGACTGCTTTAACATCTCGAACTTTTTTAATGATGAAATGTAAAGTTTCAGAAGATGCTTCAATGGACATGAGAACTGCTAATCTAACTTGGAAAGCAGGGTCTTTAGTAAGATGGAAACGATAGGCTGTCAAAACTGGATCATCAGGCCTGCTTGTATCTTGAAACCTTCTCAATGTATAGGCCGCAAGAGCGCGAACAAGAAAATTTCTGTCAGCCAAGCGATCCAACAATGCAAGTTGAAGTGAATTATAAATATCTCGACGGATGTCATTAACTCCATGAAGAAGCCTTAAAATAAGGCTACATGAGTTTTGACGGACAGCGGTGTTGACAGAGGCAAGCTCTTTGATCAGGAGCTCAGATAGAATATAATCAATTACACAATCCTTTCCACTTGATGCTTCTGTGAAAATTTCTTCACCAAACATAGATTCACCTAATTCGTCAACAGTTTCATCGACTTTAAGAAAAACAAAAAGTTACAAATTGAAAAAAATATCATTATGAAAATCTTGTAAAAAAAAATGATAATGTCTTTTAGTTTTTGGAGGTAAATAGACCTACCTTTTAGATCAACTCCTTTTTTCTCATTGTCCAATGTGTTGATCAACTTAGGAATAAACTGAATACAATGTTTAGTGAAAGGACTTTTTGGATCATTACGAAGGAAAATCCTGATAAAATGGCTGAGCTTGGAACAGAAATCTTTATGGCTGATTTCATGGTAAATTACCCGGAATTTACTTATGCATTCCTCATGAAAGCGAAGATGCTGACATTTTTGAAATATATCGGCCATGATGTCAATATCAACTGATTTACCATTATCATCTTCATTGGGGGCATGTTTCTCCTTAAGAATTTTTCTGGCTGCTTTTGATCGACCTCTGGTACTTTTTCCCGCTCGTTTGGCTGTACTGCTAGCAATGGATGATGAGGAAGATGTTGATGATGTAGCGGATGGAGCGGGTGGAGCAGAAGAAGCACTAGGATTTTTATCACGTTTTCTTAATTTCATACTGTAATTAATGAAATTGACGAGAAAAAATTAGAAATAGAAAGAAAAAAACTCGAAACAAAAACTGATGATGAAATCAGATCATAAGTTCAGCTGTAAAACAACTGTTTTTGTTCAATTTGATTTGACAAGAATAACAACAAAATTCACCGTCAGATGGAGGTAGTTAGATAGTCATTGTGGAGCATCATAAAAGATGGCGCTCCATTGAACTGATTAGAAGATTGCATCAGTGTTTAGAGCTAAATTGATAATAATTATCATCAAATTATCCTATTGAGTAGTTTCACGCTGACCAAACTAGCTTTTTCTTCGCATTTATTCTCACTCAACTTTTGATTAAGCTTAAAATCATCAACAGTTTTCCTTTCTAATTTACACAGTCCAGTTAAGTTTTTTTATAGTGAAATTAATTTAACAAATTAAAGTTTGGAAAAAAGCTCAATTTTCTTTCTTCGAATTTTGGTGTTTTAATTGTTTCAACTAACTCATATCGACATGAAGGAATACGAGAAAATGGAAGAGGATGTTCGTAGTGATACCTTAATCAAAACCAAGCCAGAAATCCAAATTGTTAAACCTTTGCATCATTCTGCGACTAAATTAATTATACCTCCATCTGACTGCGAGATGACGCTTCATGATAGATTTACCAAGCTTCTTTGTAAGCTGCAAAAGAAGGAAATTGACCCTGGATATCGAGAGATAAACATTCCGAACACTCTGATTGGAAGATTGGATCGTATAAGATTTGCTGCTCGACTGGCTGCTGCACCTTACGTGAGACCAAGTAACACTGTCTTCAGAACACGCTCTGAGTATATTGCTGAAAAAGCATCTCTTGATAAAGATCTGGATGAGTATTTTCGTTATTATGATGGAAAGATGTTTTCTAAAAATCCACATGCTCATCCTGATAACTATCCTGATAACTATCGTGAAAACTACCGTGAAAAATATCGTGAAAAATATCGTGAAAGTTATGACCGTGAAGATTTAGACGACGATTTGGAAAATTACAGGAGACAAGATCCTCGGTTACAAGATAAAAATGAAGTTGAATCTGTGGCTACTCTCGATGGTGGAGATAATAGAGATAGAGATTTCGATGAGGACATTTCTGATAATTAAGACAACTGTTTATTTAAAGATAGGCCATATTTTTCGCTTTCTTCTCTTTTCAAACAAAACCGTTAAAGAAACCAAATCTACATCTTTTTCCTTAGATAACTACTATTTGCATTTAATAACTATTTCTCCTAAACTAATGTTTTTTTTCAACAGCTTTCAATTTCATAAGTAAACACGCAAATTAAGGTGAAGAATATTTTGTAAATAAATGAGTTTCAAGTAATCAAGCATGAAAAATTTTATTGAATCGTCTTACAATTCTTGAATTGTTTGGAGTTGCTTTGCTCTGTTTAGGTTCAGGAGGATACCAGTCGATAACTAGATGACCACCCCATCGGTTTCGCAGTGGAAGAAGCTTTCGACGAGCTAAAGCAGCACTTCGATGTTCATCGAATTCAATGATAACTTTGTAATTGGCATCACTCAGGAGTTCCTTTTTGACAGCAACTAAACAAGAGTCATCAATATCGTTTCCATATAAAAGGTCCAAAACATCATGCAAGCTTATCTTAACAGGAATTGGATGCATTGAAAGTGCATTCCTGTCGAATGACCTGACAACACCAAGTTTTACTTTACGAATTCCTTCCTTTGTAATTTCCTCAACCTCGTAATTGTTCAACTCTTGGACAGCTCTTTCAGCCATTGATGGAGAAGTGTACTTCAAAAAAGCGAATCCTCTATTGGTGGTGGAAAAGTTGAGCATCATTCGAAGCATGTAAACCTTACCCATTCGTTCAAAAATTGGTAAAATGTCCAATTCACTAAAACTGCGAGGAATCCTAGCAATGAACACTTCTGAGCCTCGAGGTGGTTCACCCGACATCCAATTTGGTGGTGGTCCAAAACGCCTTTGACCATTAGCAAGGATTATATTATAACCTGTTCGCTCCATTAATTCATAAAGTCTTTGATTCAAGTTATTGTCATCGGTTAAATTAGGTTTCGCGTCCATTGTTTGTTAAAATTAGTCACTTGTTAAAAATGGTGATGATTTGGTTAAAAAAATGCAAAATGCAGAATGCAAAAGAAAACAAGAGAATACTCTTCAAGCAAAAGTTGTTCGCAATGAGTAGCTTCTTGACTTGTTGATTTATTTTGTAAGACAAAAACATGAGCAAACGATCCAACCGTTTTCACACCTTCAAGCTCAGTCGACCCTTAGACTCCCTCAACCCTTAGCTCCCTTTCAGCAAATTAATTGAAACAATAGGTGGCGTCAAATCAAGTGAACAAAGTCAACTAATGGAAGCAACAAAGAACAAAGAAGTTACCAATCTTTTAAGCTACTTTAGAGTTAAGATTTAAAAAGATTAATATTTATGCTAATCTAATTAGCACTTTGCTCAAAAAATTAGCTCTTAAACATATTCATTCTAGTCTTCAATATCGACTGTGAAAGTATGGAATCGTCAAAATCAAAGCGCAAGAAAATACAAGAAATGCCAATGATTGAGGTTAAATGCTTAATCATCAAGTTTATATTTATGCTTTTATTAATTTGTATAAATACATTGATTCAGTTTCAAGCCTAATGTGTTGATAGTTAAAATCAAAAATTGAAATTTGAAAATCAAATTAACAATATACGTTTAGCCCTTGGATTGTTTACTTAAACTTTACAAATCTTATACTTAAAGGATAATGATTGGTGAAATTAAACCTAACCGACTAGAAGTTATGGAGATTATGCACTTAGGCAGGTTTAATGGCGCCTCTGAAATTTGAATTCCGATTTATTCAGAGGTTGAAGCAAAGAGCAATACAGTAAGAGTAAGAAAAGAGTAAGCTTAATAGAGTTATCTCTTTGTGTTAATCAGCTTTCAAGACGCCGCCAAATCTCGCTGGGAAAAGGCAGTTTGTCAGTACTGCCATCTATTGAATCGGTCATTTATTTGTTTTTGCAAAATTTCAACTCATATGTTATATTGTTATTTCAAATTATTTGTTTAAATTTAATTTTCATTTGTTTAATTCATCATATCTAAGTGAAGGAGTTGGAATTATTTATAAGTTTTGAATAGTATAAATTAAAAATAATTCAAAAATGTTCAGACGTAACCCTACACGATTAGAAATGAGAATGGATGATGTCAATGAATTTGAAAAATGGGAAAAAGATCTGGATGAGAAAAGTAAAGCTGCTTCTTGTGTTACTATTGACCCTTCAACGACCAAAAGTTCAACTTTAACAGCAGCAGAAAGAATTGGTTACCGTCCTAATCAACGCACTTGAGAAAGTTCACTGTTTTTAATGTCATTTCCTAGATTTGGTCGATTCACCAGGCAACCTGATTGTACTAACAGTATTTGGACTAGTCTGCTTACTGGAATCAAATGCTACAGCATCAGCGTGTTCATCATGCTTTAACCATGGATGTCCCATTATGCCTAACATTGTAATTCGTTTCCTTGGGTTTGGCTCCAACATGTGGCGAACCAAATCTTTCACTTCATTGCTCAATTTATTTTTTTGCCTTCTCACAAATTTCCATTTTCGATGTAACTGATTTGATATCATTAGTTCTTTATCTTCTGGATTAAAAGGATAAGCTTTATTCACCATTGCATATAAACAAACGCCCAAAGCCCATATATCAGCAATCATTGGATCATAGAGTCTTGTACCGTCTGACCTCTTCTTCAATATCTCTGGAGCCATGTAAGGTTCGGTACCACAACATGATGTACAGTACAATACACCTTTAGTTGGACGATAACTTATTCGACTTAATCCAAAATCAGTAACCTTGGCCTTTTTTTCATTATCAAGGAGTATATTACCCAATTTCAAATCACGATGGGATATGTTGAGGCGATGTAAATGATGCATAGCAGAAGCAATCTCACGGAACCACCGACGAGCTCTTTTCTCCTTTACCGGTCCTTTTTTCCTAACATACTCTGATAATGTTCCAGATGCTGCAAATTCCATGAAAATATAAACTTTATCATCTATCACAAAATGCTCAAATAATTTAACAATATTTGGATGTTCAACTTTTTCCAATACAAATAATTCATTTTTAAGATCAGTTAACCTTTCTTTACGTTTACGTTTAACTTCAATTACTTTACAAGCGACAACAAAGTCGTCTGTAAGTCTAATTGTTTTGAAAACTGTGGCAAAAGCTCCAGCTCCAATTTTATCCTTTAGTCTGTAACCCCGACGAGCAATTATACTATCTGGTTTTTCACCATCCTTTGTTTGGTAAATATCAGTTTGTAGATTTATTGGAATCTTACTAGAATCTTTATCATCAGTTTCTTTCATGTAACATATATTTTACTGGGACAATAATCTCGGATCAATCAATGTAAAGGAATGTAATAATCAACACAAGACCATGGTAATATCTCATAATAGTGCATCTGAGTCAATTAATGTAAAGTTGAGCGTCTTTGCAAAGGATAATTTAAACAACAATAAGGAACAAAAATTGCTTACTCAATCACAGTATATTTAAGAATACGAGAAAAGTTTCAGGATTAATTTCTGCCGGACTATTTAAAATGAGTGACATAGATTCAAGTGGTTCTGGCTCATTTGAGTTAAGTGAGATGGATGTTATAGATCTTGGCGAATTTTCCTGGAACCAGCGACTACGTCCAAAGCCTAAACTACATGGTAAATATTTACTTGGTGACATTTTGGGTCAAGGAACATTTGCCAAAGTCTATGAAGTGTTAGATTTAGTCACATTGGAGCGACAAGCAGTTAAAATATATGATTTACAAAAGATTGATCGTAAATTCAACCGTGATGAAATGATCGCAATGGTTAATCAAGAGATTAATTTATTAACGGGTTGTAACCATCCAAATGTGATCAAATTGATAGATGTACATCGCCGTAGAAAAAATCATGAGGAATTGGCAAAAAAGGAAAAAGAAGCAGTTAATCAAAAATCAGCAAAGGAAAATGAATCAAGCAATCAACAACAAAGTGAAACTAGAAGAAGATTAAAAAAGAGTAAAATTTGGGTCTATATGGAGTATTGTATGGCCTCAGTGGCCGAATTAATGCAACTTGCTAATCCAAGTCAAGTTAAAAAGTTGCCTCGGAAACAAGCTCGTCGTTATTTTACTGGTTTGTTGAGCGGTTTAGATTATCTCCATTCCAAGGGAATCTTTCATAAAGACATAAAACCAGACAATATGTTGATTAATGTTTTCGATACAATTAAGTTGACGGATCTAAGTGTTAGCTATGTTGTTGATATATTTACTCAATCGGATATCTGCTTCAATACATATGGAACTATTGCCTATCAATCTCCAGAAGTGATCAATTCAACTGATGCTGGTTTCTCTGCCTCTGCTTTAGATATCTGGTCAGCCGGAGTTACTCTCTATGTCATGGTAACTGGAAAATTGCCTTTCTCATCAAAATCAGGTTTCATCGCTATGACTGAATCCATTTTAGCAGATAACCCACAAGCTGATGATATACTAAAAATCGATCCATGCTTATCTAATTTGATTCATTCTATGTTGGATAAAGATCCAGTTCGGCGAATTAAATTGTATCAAGTACTAAATCATCCTTGGTTTCTTATTAATTTAATGGGAGATAGTCCTAAGATTAATATTCCTCCCAGATATGCTAATGGAGACCAATATCGAAGCTTAACAATCACATCTCATCTTCATGAACTACATTACCCTCTGCCAAATGATCAAAACATTGTGCGAGTGTCAGAATCTTCAGCTGAAGAATTCAATGCTAAAAGAAAAATACCAATTGTCAGATCTAATCGTTCACCAACACGCCATCGTAAAAATAAAAGACGCCCGAGCTTTATTGAGAAAGTAACCTCTGGTCAAATCGGGCGCCTTCTTGGAGCAATAGGATTAAAAGCTGATTCTTTTAATGTTTGTGATTTAGCTACTAGAATCAAGTCGAAGGTTGATTCAAGCACAAATGACTCTGATTTATCAACCAATCAATCAGAAAGTGAAGAGCGATAGAACGCTAATCATTAAACTGTAAAACTGATCGCAAATACATCGTTCTAATTGACAAACAAACATGTTACAGATGAGAAAATTTCCTGAAGTGTTGAATGTTAGATTAAGATTAGAAAGTGTCAAGTTTTTGATCTATTTTCAACTGGAATGGCCCTTCAATTGAAATTTATCCAAGCTTTTATCCTAAAATTCTTAAATTAAATTTCAATCCGCTTCTACAACTTTAAGCTAGCCTTAAATGTAAATCATGGCTTCAAAAAATGTACATTTGTAATTTAACTTTGCAACAATTGTTTTTTATTAATATTTTTGTGATAAAGCAACATAATAAAATTTCGTGATAATCATTTGTAACAAAAATAATGAAATTCACTTTTTGACCTTATTAATTTTCATGATTCTTGAAGTGATTATGGATGCAAAAACAACAAACATGCCCAAGAGAGAAAGCATGGATATGGAATGGTGGTAGAGGTTCATTGATAAAAGGATGGCAAATATCTGCCTGAGTGTCATTATCATAGCAAAAATGAGAGCACCGAAATGAGAAATTGTAAAGAATACAAAAAACTGTCCAATTGTAGAGGAAATGGATAAAAAAATGCAGTCAAGCAGTAATCGATTGGAGCTAGTGACTGTGATCAAAGCTGGAATCAAATTCCCTTGTTGAGTGAGTGAGGTTAGAGTTAAAATTACGGAGCAGAGATTGACTGCCGCCATCATTTGCCAACTTGAAATGCGATATTTGTGATAAATGCTTTCTTCCCAATTTGAGGTAAAAGAGTCAAAAATAAGATAACAGGCCAAAACAATTAGTCCATTAAACAGCTTTGATGTACTATTCATAGATCCTTGCGTTATTGCAGATTCATTTTTATGATCATTATTGTGGTTTCCATGAAGGAATAAAATCATTCCGAATGATATACTGATTGAAGTAATGTATTCAAAAGTTTCATATTTCTTGTTTGAAACCAACTTTGACATCAACATGACTGAAGGTATTTTACAAGCCTTCGATAAAACCTAAAAATAAGAAAGATAGAAAAGACAATGTTTGAGAAAGGATCAGCAGATCAGTGAATTATCAAATGAAATTACTTGAGTGGGAAAATTGACAAATTTCAGCGCTTCATACTGGCACCAACTGCTTAAAATATTTGATAACGAGCAATAGAAAAATTCATGGAAAGGTGCGATTACAAGTCTTTTGGGCGTTCCACTTTGATTAGGCAGTTTCCTTGCTTGAGTTATAGTGAAAACGACTAGTGCAATTAAGAAGGCAAAAATGCGATTTATGAGTACCAAAAATTGAGAGTCGTGAAATTTGATTTTATCAAGTTTCACTGTTAGTGACTCTGAAAAGGAAATAAAGAAATACGAAGAGAAAAGATAGATTAATATTAATATTTTGAGCCATCAGAGTATCAACGACGATTTGTCCTTCAGTTAACAATAGAATTGATTGATGGTTATGTTGATTGACATACCCTGTTTAATAATAAATTGTGTACGATTAGTTGAAATTAAATACTCGGTTGTCATTATCTTCTCCTGGAAAACACCCCAAATCAGGTAAGAACAGTGTAAACCAAGGAAACAAGTGATAAACAAGACCAACTTCTTTCTGTTGGAATTCTTAGCATCTTGTTCTTTTGTGTCTTCATCAGTTTCTTTCTTCACATCAATTAATTGCTTTGATTGTTCAACATCATAGACACCATTTGTGTTGACATCTCTACCATAAACAATGATCCGTACAATTTTCAAGTTGGAAACTGCAATGAGTAAAAAAAATTAGTGTTACAAAAGGTTAGTATGATTCAAGTTTCTCTCCTGTCAATGATGCAGAACTTAGTAATTAGCAATTAATAATGTACAAAATCCAATGTACACCGATTATAATGCATTGAAAACAATAAAAGCCGGATTAAAACAATAAAAAGCAATAAATCAAGACTTACATGTTGGTATACAGTGTTTGTGTTTAACCATATAAACCATGATTCCAATTGGAAGTAAAACTGTTGAATATCCATACAGATTCCAGAGTAATTCGACAAACCAGTCAAAATTTTCTCCATCTCCCATAATTAAAGCTAATTCCTATGATAAGCAATTTTGATTTTACAATTAACGAGTTTCATTTATAGAGCAAATCTTCACTTTTTGGTTCCACTTGTTTTCAAGTAAACATATGTTTTGAAATCTCTCCCTTCAACATGAACATGTTGTCCATTCTTTTTTAGCTTATAATGCATAATAGCTTCATATTGAAATAAGCTTACTCTGCAGTTAATATTTAGCTTGTGCTATACATCGTTTTTAAATTAACCCACCATCTATCCGTCATCCAACAATATTTATCCCTTTGTGTATTTACATTACTCAATTGACAATCTTTTTTTATTGTTTCCTCCATATCTTGATGTCTCAATTATCCATTTCATGTGATACCAACAGTCTACAGCCTGTTGAGTGTGAATTAATCCCTTGTAAAATTGATTACACCGGTAAAGCTAAGGTGGCTAGCTATTTCAAACCAACAATCAGTGAAACGTCTAAATCAACTTATATTGGATCATTCAGAGGTAAACCATTGGATGGTGGAGACTTGACACTTGGTGAAGATACAATTGGTGTTGTCTGTGAAAAAACATTTGGATCACTTGATAAAACTAAGTTGAAACCAATTGGTAAATTTGACAAAATCAGAGCCTGGAATTGGGACACAAAGCCATCTTCAAATGATGTTTCAGCTCAGGCCTTACAGTGGTTAACAATATCAGCAGCTATTCACGAACCCATTTCTCCTGACAACTTGAAGGAAGAGGAGACTGAAGAAAATAATTAATCAGTTGTTTAGTTTGTGCTTGCAGTGATTACTCATCAGTTTATTATCATAATTCACTGCCATCATGGAGAACGGAATTGAAAAGACATTCAATTTTAAATATGATCGTTATGGTATAGACATCAGCCATCAGCTGGTGATTCCTTTACCATCATGTGTTAATATTGCAGAAATAGCCTACTATATTTTTAACCATTATAATATTCCACCCAATTTAGAGGATATTTTATTTAACCAATTGAGCCAGTTCGTTAAGGAGGAAGAAGAGGAATACGAATTACGGGGATTTATAGAAGCCCAAGAGCGATTCATCAAGGATGAAAACATACAAGAAAGAAGTGAACATTTACTCAATTTTGATAAGCTCTTATTGAACAAAAGTAAATCTGTTCGAGTTTTAGATAAATCAGTTTCGGATGAGGAATGCAAATTTCACGAAAAGTATCATCGATTAATTCATTCTGGATTCTTAACCGAGCCAATCATCTTTTTGGACCACTCGTATCGAGTTGCTGTACAGGATTTGGTTTCACGAAAACTCGATGAACTAAGTTCTGTTTGTGAAGAGCAAGCAGATGAAACTGATAAATTACTCAGACAAATGGATTTAGGAAAAACTGATGAAGACGTTAATAGACTCTCATTGAGATATTTTAATAAAGTAGAGGCGTTGAAAACTCGCTGGGATCAATCAATACATGATCTCCAAGGTGCTCAAAAGAAGGAATTCCGTGATTGGATTCATAAAATTTTTGAAGATTTCGTTAATCAGCAAGCAAAGGATTCTTTGGTTAAAGAAATTAATGAAAGATCAAAATTATCCCTCATCAACGGTGAATGGTCTGATATAGCAGAGATCGACAATGCTGATATGGAAGAAAGTTTTACAATAAATTTAAGTGCTCAGCTTAAATCATCTCATAATCTTCGTCTAAGGTCAATGCAAATCTTGGATATGTGTGATTCAAGTACCGGGTAATTTACATTTAGCTGTTTTAACTTTAATAAGCCAACATTTTAGATTTTTTTTTACTAAATATTTTTTTTATTTACAGCTTAATTTCAAAACCAAATCCTCATCGAATCCAAACAGCTATGTCACTTTACTCAAATTCACTCTCTGGACTTATCCTTCTTGTTGACAATAGAATCAATAGTTATACTGGCATTAAAAAGGGTAAATATATTTTGATGATAGCTTTCATTTAACATTTATTCATTTATTTTGTTTCTTTATAGAATTCAGTGAAAAGTGTCTTCAATCAACCGATTTCCATTTCCCTGATATTGAGGAACAGTTGAGTACGATTCGTTTAAAAGCGAGTAAATTTGATGCCAATAAAAAGTCTATAGAACTATCACCATTAAAACCAGGAGACTTTTACATCACTCGACATTCCAATTTGTCACAAGTCCATGTTGTCTTTCATTTAGTTATTGATGAATCCATTTATTCCAATGATGTCAGTTCTCGCCATTCGGTTATACTTGGGCTTAGGAATATCTTAAAGGTTGCTCATTGGAATGACATAAATACAATATCAATACCGCTACTGTTAATCCACGAACTTTCTGATGATATCACATTGAATTGGTGTTTGAAAAGAGCCGAGCTTGTTTTGAAATGTGTTAAAGGATTCATGATTGAAATGGCTTCTTTCTCGCCTACCAGTTATGAGAATAAAACAATCCAATTCATCGTACCCAAGGGTGTATCTACAGAACTCTTCTCTAACCTGACCTCCATGCTCTCCAGTATTTTTCGAATTTCTAATCCTCTGGTCTTGAAATCTAAAGATCCAAACCTTTGTAACTCAAAATAAATTAAACTCTGATTGGGATTGAGAAAATTCTGTTGCTTAAAAAGTGATTACAAAAAGCGCAATCTGATTGATTAAAATATCAAGATACAATGTTTAAAGATCTTACCGGTTACTGAGGCTTTATTAGCTTTTGAAAAAAATACAAATTATTAACTCTAAAATGAACACAACGGTTATTTATCAAGTGAAGTTTATTGAAAGTTTACTGTAAACATCATAATAAGAGAAATATTTTCAATCAAATACTGTAAATAGAAAGGTAAAATTCAGTTATTATGGTTCATCTAAGGCAAGAAGTTGATACTTACAATGACGAATATTTCAGTTGTCATATCCAGGAATTGTCCGATAGTAAAAGCAATATCAGTCCTTACGAGTCGATCCTGTATATCAGTTTCCTGCAATCACAAAGTAAATTGGATTCAACATCACTTCATGGCTAACAGAGAAACCAAACATTACCTTAATAGAAACATTTGGATCCAATTGTAAACGACACGTACCTTTCCTTAGGTTTTTACAATAAGAGCTCATCTAAAAGTAAAATGATCAAACTCAATCATGACTAATTGAATGATCAAAAGATAAGTGAAATTGATTTTTACCTTTGTCAGTACAATTCCATTGACATACGAACAAATTCCAATTGATATGAAACCATTTAGAGCAACAATTGCGAGAAAAACATCTAAATAGTTATGATCAATGTGAACAACAGCTGCAATGTAAACACCAAAATCTGAAGTAAAAGACATTCCAAGGTAAAGAAATATGAGCCAGTTTCTAAAGCGAACGTTGAGATGCTCGATTTCATTCTGATATTGAATAACCTCACGAATAGTAGCTTTGTACATGAGCAAGTAGTCAACTTTATGCGAGCTTCTTCTTTTCCTGGCAAAACGTTCCACATTCTCAGCTACATGAACAGCTTTAAAGTAAAAGTAAGCCAAATGAATTGTAACCAAACCTCCGGTTAACATGAGGTTGATCAAGGCACAAACAAGTCCAAGATAAGTGACAAAAAGCCAACAATAAGTGTAAATGAATTGTTGAGGTGTTTTCGGTAGTTGAGATACTGATTCACTAATAAATACTAAAATTGGAGCAAGACTAATTGTTAAAAGAGCAATCACTTTGATCCACCAAATTGCTAGATTGTTGGCCACAAAACGAAACTTTAAACAATAAAATGGACTCATAAGTAAAACTTGACTTCTAAACCCTTTTGTGTACAATGTATCGTACAATCTAAGTGTCTTTAAATGGCCCTTTTTAACTAAATATATCCAAAAATGTCGCAAAACTTCACCAAAAATGGACATGTACAACCAGAAAAGCCAAAAAAATCGACGACCTGGATGGCCACAAAAAAAGTCACCAAAAATATGAAGCCATTGATCGGGTAAATTAAAGACGCTTAACAATACTAAATGGCCGATATTGGCGAATATTATACAAAAATAAATGATGGATTTTACTATAGTCCATTTCGATGGTGTTACACTTGCATCTTGAGCAAACCCATTTGGTAAAATATTAAATGCTACACAAAACGACTCAAGTCGTTTCATATCTTTGATTACTACAGCATCATCGACATTACTTGATCGAAATCCAAGTACGAGTTGAATCAATTTTGACATAATTTAAAGAGCAATATTAAATTCAAGATTCCCTGTAAAAAAGTTCAATTCGATTTCACTTCCAAAGAAGACGTGATCTGTGTCAACTGTCAACAATATTATAATATTGTCCAGTGAATCCACTGATGACTGAAATCTTAATGAATAGAATCCAGTTCAAAATGAATCTCAAGATTGAAGGTTAAATAATTTATGGTTGAATCTAAAGTTCACCACTCATTGAAAATTCAGAGTGAAAACCAGTCAGAATAATATCAAAACTTATTATGCATGTGATTGATTCGAAAGTAGCGTCGTTGAAGTGAGCAGTTTTGAAAATTACTTATAAAATGTTGAAATTATGAAGTTCAAAGTGTGATACAATTCATTATCATTCATAATTCAAATAATCTGAAAAAACACTTGAGCTAAAAATTTAAAATCAATAAGCTTTATTAATCTCCATTGGCTTGTTCAAGGCCAATCGATCGCATCATAAATATTAAGTTCATTAACAGATAAAAATTTACCCTATTTATTTACTTGATTCATTGCCAAGATAATGAAATGCTAAAATTGTAAAGCAATCATGAGAAAATGTCAACATTAACTAATAAAATTAGATCGATTTTTGAAATGTTGATCTCATAAGTCGTTTTATTACATTGTATACTGTAATTTGAATTATGAATCCATCAAGTGACAATTATTAATTAGAAAATGATTTATTTTTTAATTACAGTCACGGTGTTCTTATAAAATTTAATAACAAGTGTGTTTACAATAATATAATACATTGATGGATATGCTTGATCATGAAATTAGCTCTACATTGTTTTGTATCAAGTTGAAAGTAAATTGGTTCGAGTTTGGAATAAAAAAGTTTCGGAAAAATTCGTCCATTAATCACTTCTTGTGCCAATAAAAATCACTACGTATCCAGTTCTCAGCATTTTGTTACACTTGAAATCCATGATTTCCATCACTTTATCAAAGGTCCGATGTTAACCGTGAATAGCATCAAGAGCGATATATTTTCTACGATAAACTGAGACAGATAGATTATTATCAAGTCAGAAATTAATTTACGCATCTCACCAATATGAAAAATCTTTTCTCAAGAGTCACAAAGTCTCCAATTTTAAAACCATTGTATGGTCCAGCAGCCCGATCCATTAACTCTAAAATCTGTGCAAAAAGGTCGGGTCATACATTTATTGATAAGTTAACTGTTTCAACTGTATTATTCCTTACTTTAGTTGCTGTTCCCAATGAAAGCTTATTCTTGCAGGATAATTGGTGAAGTTTTATTGTTAAATTTTCAAGCTATCAATGAAAGGAAACAAACAAATGAATTTGAATACAAAATTATCTATTATTAATTACCTTCGAGATGAAGCTTCCGAAAGCAATTGCAAATCCTCCAATACCTGATAGGATAATCATACCTAGGATCGCGAGTAAATTTGCTAAAATATCATTGTAAACTCTAACAATGCCACCAAGGAAAATGTAAGCATCGGCTGAAAAAGCAAACACAAAAACGTAATACAAGGAAACGTACCGTAGTTTTTTGACGGTCAACTCAAAACTGTTGAGACGACCTGTGGCTAATAGACAGAGCAATTTCACTTCTCTATCAACATTAATAGTCCCAGTTGATCTGTTCAGTAGATTGGCCATACTCAGTAAACTCGTTAGCCGGAAAAGATGAAACGATAATGAACATACAAGATACCAACTGAATCCAACAATTCCGTTTAAAAGAACAGAGCAACTAAATATGACAGAACATGACCAAATAAAACTAGAAATGAACAGTTTTGGTATCTTGTACATCCAAGGATTGGTCAGTAATGGGGCGATGATTAGCATTGATAAAAATAGAGGACCTACGAGCATCGTGTAATAAGCAAAAATAGACACTAAAATGATTGTTGTACGAAGCCTTTTACAGTTGATATTATCCATCTTCAAATTAATCGAAGTGAATCCGTTGAGACAAATATTCCAATCATGTAATATCTCGAGATTTCCTTTGTATCCAAGGGTCAGAATCCATTCACGAAAGATGACTATGATAGATAATATGATCAAACACCATATGAATAAAGGTCGACGATCTTTATTACGAAATAATGGATCACCAAGATAAATAGCAACCGATTCACTATCATCGCAAATAAGTATAAGCACTCTAACCCAATTGATTAAACAAGTTATTCCGATGATCCAATCCCACCGATTAAGTTGACGATAACTAAAAGAGTTGGCAGTAACAGGCTTAATTTGACTCAGTCCATGGCGGACAACCTGATAGATTATTGTTAATCTTTCCGTACGTCGTAACAATTGAAAAACATACGAATCAGCATCATTAGAGTGAGAAAATATAAAAAAACTGAAAATGTTTCTCAAATATTTGAGCAACAAGTTTTTTCGATAACGATAATAACATGCAAATGTATGAAGTATTATCAAACGAGCCATGTTCAACTGGGAGTTTGTTAGATTCAGATTGATGTTTTTCATGCATGTGAATTGAGAATCCTTTTCAAATATTGCAAAAAGTAGTTTTTTCGGTTAAGAAAAAAAACTTGCGTCTTTATTAGTCATTATTAATCAGCGATTTTGAAACTCGAAGTTGTTTATTAGATTTAGGTTCATGTTTATTATGTATGTTAATTGTTTCTATGAGTCTTCCAGTTGAAATCATTGATTCACTTTTAATTGAAAGAATTGATGAAGGCTTGGATTCATTTTTCCCTTTGATTTCGTGATCGGTCCATCCATCATCCCTTGAATGTTTAATATACATGCATTAATTGTTAATGGAAATTGATTCAACTATTGATCACAATCAAAGTGTTAGTTTATTAGCATGAGGATGGCAGACTGATTTTATCACACCAATTATTGGTCCCGTATTTGGCAATCAATCCTCAAATATCATTGTTGAACAATCCCTTGCGCAATTGAGAATACTTTTAAAATGCAGTTCAGAGTATACCAAGCGTTTTTTTCATTTAACGCCTGCTTGCGGTAATAACTCACGAATCAAAGGTTATAAAGACTTAACACTTGCGGTGATGTAGCGCTGCTAGAAATTTGTCAAACGATAATCAGATTGGCCTAGAAATGGTTTCAAGGTTTTTACTTTTATTCATATTTTCTTTGCTTTCTATTGAAATGGTTATTGACTTGGACCAATATTTAGACAAGGTTATGATATAAAGCTGCTCGAAAATCATGTATAGCGTGATATCGTTAGTATATATTCAGATCATTTTTATTCAATTCATATTTTTATATAGAGTTATACTATTAAATAGCGATGAAAAACTTGAGTCATTATCACGATAGGTCATTGTTTCGCCGTTTGTACGCGTACGAATGGTTAATTTTGATTAGAAAGATTCGCAGTATGTATCAAAGGTCCAATGTTGCAAATAAATAGCATTAAAGCTGATATGTTTTCTAATATAAACTAGAAGAAACAGAATTTAGAGTTTTAGTGAAATTTCATTTTTACTCATCTTACCGTTATGCCAAAACTTTTCTCAAGAGTCAAAAGGTCTCCGATTTTTATGCCATTGTATGGTCCAGCAGCTCGATCCATTATCTCCAAAACCTGTACAAACAGATCAGATTCACAGATTAAGTAATTCCGTATATTCTCAACTTGAGTTGATAGGAGTTTTAAATTTTACATTGTATTTGATTTGGTAAGATCAATGACTTGGGATACGGATTCTATGCTTTCTCATCGACTAAAATTATTGCGAATTATGCTTTTTTGTTGGAAATTTTTGAGAATTCATTATTAGTCATGTTTTGCTCTTGTTCATTTTAAAGATATACTATCCATATTTACCTTGTTTGCTGTGCGCATCGTAAGTCTATTCTTGGTGGATAGTTGGTGCAGTTTCACTGTCAACTTATTGAGCTAATTAAAAGAATATAAAAATCAATAAAATATCAACCGAAATCGATTCTGTCAATTACCTTTGAGATGAAATTTCCAAAAATTAAACCAAAAGTTCCAAGAGATAGCAAAATCGAGAAACCGAGGAATGCGAACAAATTTGCGACTGACTCATTGTAAACTTTAACAATGGTTCCAAGAAAAATGTCGAAATCACCTACGGCAGCAAATATTAAAAGATAACATAACAGTAGATAGCGAAATTTGTGAGAAACCACTTCAAATGCGTTTAGATGACTAATGATTGACACACAAAATGATCGAAGTTGTTTCCCATCAACCAATCGGTGAATCAAGTCATCTGCAGAGTGCAGCAGATCATACAGTCGAAAGAGATGAAAGCAAATGGAGCAAACTATGTACCAGAAGAATCCAAATGCAGTACTGAAAAGAAGCGTAAAAACAAAGATGATTGGAAAGGACCAAACAGAACAGAAAAAGGCCAGTTTAGGAACTTTGTATATCCAAGGATTGGATAAGCATGGTATAATATATATTAATGCGGAACAGAAAGGCATTGAAAGCAGCACATTTTGTGTAAAAATAGAAAATAAAAAGATGGTGAAACGAAATCTTTTGGCAACAAGATTGTTCATTTGCAAGTTGGTCGAGTCGAAACCATTGAAGCAAACTTTCCATGCAGACAATATTTCGAAGCGTCCTTTCGCATTGAGATTCAAAATCCATTCTCTAAAAATGAACAACATTAAAATCATTATTGAACCATATATATATATAGCTTGACCATCTTTGGCACGAAATAATGAATCTCCAAGGTAAAACGCAACAGAATCACTTGTGCTGAAACCGAGTGCAACAAATTTTGTATAAGTGATTAAACAGTTGATTGTTATAAACCAGTCCATCCATTTGTATCGACGGTAACCAAACGCATTTACTGCAGATGAGTTGCTTTGGCTTGGACCATTAAAGTCAAGTTGAAAGAAAGCGGTCAACCTCTCTGTTCGCTGCACTAGTTTACAAACAGTCAAATCAAATTCATTTGAATTGGGAACTGTAAACGGAAAACTCGACAATTTTTCCAAAACGTAATTTTTCTGTTTGCTTAAAACATTCAAAACCATGATTTTTTTTCATTAACTTGTGGTAAAAATGCTTTTGAATTTCGTTTTTAAAGTCTTCAGTTTTTGATCAACTTTATTGTCAACATTGTAAATCGTTTCTTTTTGTCACGATTGTTCATTCAAAAACAATTAATTTAAAAATCCTATCATCGTTTGGTGCTATTCCGAATCATATTATTTAAATAATTTGGATAATCATTGAATCAATATAGCTGAAATGATATATTTATTTTCTGTGAAAAATTGTTGCTAAGAAACTAAATTTGTTCACACTTTTAATTGAATTTATTTGATGCTCATTCAAAAAGAATCGATTCACAAATCCTTTCACGTTTCCTTAAAGGAAGGCTTTCTACATCCCGAAACGAATCTTATCGATTCGAGGATTGCCTGAGGTTTTAT